GGGTAAAGGCAATTAGTTACAAATGGATCTATAAGAGGAAGAAGGGCCCCGATGGTAAGGTTGAGACCTACAAGGCTCGTCTTGTGGCGAAAGGGTACACTCAGAAAGAAGGAATCGATTATGAGGAAACCTTTTTCACCCGTGGCCATGCTTAAATCCATTAGGATTCTACTAGCCGTAGTAGTATACCATGACTATGATATTTGGCAAATGGATGTCAAAACCACGTTCCTTAATGGAGATCTTACTGAAGATATCTATATGTAACAACCGCAAGGTTTCGTAGTTGTAGGTCAGGAACACATGGTATGTAAACTTAGTCGATCCATATATGGACTTAAGCAAGCTTCTAGGAGTTAGAACATCCGGTTTGACTCTACTGTCAAACAGTTTGACTTTGAGCAGAATCCGGATGAGCCTTGTGTTTACAGGAAGACCAGTGGGGATAAGGTTACGTTCTTGGTTCTATATGTAGATGACATTCTACTCATTGAGAATGATGTAGGAATGTTGACTACTGTGAAAGTATGGCTTTCACAGCAATTTTCCATGAAAGATCTTGGAGAAGTCTGTTACATCTTGGTACTTCGACTCTATAGAGATAGATCAAAGATGATAATAGGATTATCCCGGTCTACTTATATTGACAAAATAGTCAAGAGATACAGTATAGAGAACTCCAAGAAAGGAAATGTTCCTTTCAGGCATGGAGTCACTCTCTTCAAGGGTATGTCTCCCAAGACACTTGAGGAGATTGAGGGTATGAAGGAAGTTCCCTATGCTTCTGCCATAGGGAGCATCATGTATGCTATGGTGTACACTCGGCCAGACATTGCTCAGGCCGTGAGTGTGGTAAGTAGATACCAATCTAACCTAGGATAAGAGCATTGGACCACTGTGAAAAACATATTGAAATACCTTTAGAGGACAAAAGGGGTTTGTTTGGTATTCGATGGTAGTTCACTACAGATCCTTGGGTATACCGATGCCGATTTCCAATCAGATCCAGATGATAGAAAATCTACATCTAGATACATATTTATGGTGGGGTCATGTTCAGTTAGTTGGAAAAGCAGCAAACAAGGGTCCACTACAGATTCCACAACCGAGGCCGAATACATTACCGCAAGTGAAGCTGCCAAAGAAGCCGTATGGATGAAGAAGTTCATTCAGGAGTTAGGATTAGTTCCATCCAACACATCATTCATTCCATTGTTATGTGACAACACTGGAGCCTTTGCTTTGGCAAAGGAGCCACAAGCCCACTCGAAGTCAAAGCACATCAAGAGGAAGTACCATGTACTACGAGAAATAGTTGGAAGAGGGGACGTCCTGATTTAGAAAGTAGCATTAGCGGAAAATGTAGCAGACCCATTGACTAAGCCACTAACACAAAAAATGTTTGAGAAACACGTGGAAAGTATGAGACTCCGGCTTATATCCAATTAGACCTAAGTGCAAGTGGGAGTTGTTAGACAGTGTATGCCCTTAGCTCCAATCAGCATGATGTACATTATGACATTTATTGTAAATGAATAAAGTACATATTTGATTCATGTTATGATGGTGTGTTTTTGTGTAATACCCTTAAACTGGACACATATGAGACTCGTGTTAGCTTAGAATCTTCACAGCTATTGGATAGATCTGGGGAGATTTATCCTGCCAAGGCTGACACTGATATACCACCAAGTTGGTTAGGGTGGCTTGCTCAGCTGTTAGAGTGAGACCTGAGGTACATGCAGTGTGGGTTTTCTTGAAACCCTAAATCAAACCAAAATTCTAGTATTGCCTTGGACCTTGGAGATAGATGGTCAAAATTGAAATTGTACACCTGACCCCTAGAGTCGATTATGATACTGCACTAGGTGTCGGATTGGGCTGTCTTTGATACGCCAATCAATGAGATCCTTAGAGAGGGTCAAAACTTGGGTATGTTAGGACAGTCCGAGAATTCATCTGAGTGGATGATCATAGTGATAGGATCAGCCCCTTTGTCGGACAAAGTGAATGATCGAAGATGCACTCTCTCTGAGGGAAACCTAAACTGTCGCTAGTTGATTTCAACCATTGAAATTTGTTTTGCAATATATATATATATATATATATATATATATATATATATATTATGGTTTCAAAATGTTTGCAAAAGGTTTTAATTCCCGGGATCTATGTGAGCAGAGAGTGCAGCATTGCACCTTGCAGCCGAGGGAGAGGTCCTCTCTTCTCATACAGTGTTTGATCATTATGGGCTAAAAGGTTAAGTGTAAGACCATTGAGGATTATACCTAATGGGATAATCTACCATCTGCCCACATTCCTTGGGCCTTCATAAGATGGCTGGACCAAAGGACCATTTAGTGTAAATGTTGGGCCCATTAAGAGCCCATAGTGATGGACTCAATAGTTCACTGCATTTAGCAGTGAATTCGTCCAGGCCTTGTAACAGAGGCTAAACTGAACCCGTGTGCCTAATGTGTAGATCAATGATAGGGTCCCACGCCATACAAAGAGAGCCAAGCTAGCCAGCATTAAAGTGGAAGTGAGCCTGAAAGCTTAATGGACCTAGAAGCCCATTTCGAACTGGGTTAATTAGATTAATTAAATAGGGGTGGATCTGGGATTTGGATCAGCAGATAAGATAAGGGATTATCCTTATCCACTTAAAGAGTYCAGATCCAAATAAAGATTTGGATCAAAGGAACTCCTAATTTGATTASGAAGGBTGATCTHTATCTATAGATAAGATAAGGGATTATCCTTATCACTTAAAGAGTCAAGATCCAAATAAAAGATTTGGATTATGAAACTCTTAATGGGATTAGGAATTTTTCTCTTTAAGGCTATAAATAAGAGAGCATGGCGAACCTCCAAAGACACATTCACTGAATACAGAGAGAAGACAACACAGTTAGACTGCTCTTGCCTTCTACTCTTTTTCTTCATACTCTTGCCGCCCTACTTTGTTCGGTCTCCAGTTCTTGGATTGGATCAAGATTTGATCTTGATATTGTTTCTTGCCAGAAGAAACAATTTAGAAACTGTGCTCACTGTCTCATTCGATTCTTGTTGAAGAATCACTAGTTCTTGGTGAAGAACTACCTGCTGATCCTGCCTTACCCTAAGCCGTGTCATCTTCAGTGGAGGGAGGATTTGGTACACTATTTGGGTGTGAACACCTACGTTGAGAGGAGCATTCTTGCGTGGATACCGTATCAGGTATATCCCTCCCTTAATTTGGTTTCTGATTTGGTCCGGTTTGGTTACAAGAACGAACCTTGAAAATATAGTTTTCTAAATTGGGAATAGGATTCCCGAATGGGAGTAAAGAAATTTTTGAAAATTCACCCAACCTTCCTGCAAGGTTCGGCCATCCATATGATGGATCTTCCATCCCTTTAGCAGCACCCTCTCTCTTGCTCAGATCTTGCCGCTGTCGTACCACCCTTTTCGAATCTTGTTGCCGTCGTAGCACCCTCTCTCGCTCAGATCTTGAAGATAGCCACTCCACCACCCTCTCTCTCACTCAAATCTGGTTGTCGCATCACCTTCTCTCACTCAGATCTTGATGGTCGTCAATGCAGCCGCCGCCATAGCACCTTCTCTATCATTCTTGAAGGTAGCCACACCACCCTCTCTCTTGCTCAGATCTTGCCGTCGTTGCACCACCCTCTTTAGATCTTGTTGCTGTCGTAGCACCTTCTCTCTCGCTCAAATCTTGAAGATAGCCAATGCACTACCCTCTCTCTTGTTTGTAGGTCGTTGCCGCACCACATATCTATTGTTTGAAGATCTAATGGTTTGAAGATTTGAAAGAATACGATCTTAAATTTCAAAGATTTTTGATGTTTTGAAACATTTGCAATGTATTCTTTTGAATTGGAATGTAAATCCCCATTGAGGGTTCTACAAATTTATGCAAACAAATATTTTTGTAATTGTTTATCTAATTGCCTGAAAGTTATTTTGAAATTTTGTTGCAACAACCTTTGGATTCAATGTCTAATTTCTGTTTAGTTTTTGAAAAAATTTATCATTTGATTAGTTTGTTTGTAAATTTTTATTTTTTCTAAAATATATAATTAAAAAATATTTTTTTTTTACTTTTTTTCTTTTTTAGTTGATATTTTAAAATTTTTATCATTTTATGTATTTTTGTGTAGGTTTTTATTATCTTTTTGAAAATTTTATCACTTTCTTGTGTTTTTTACAATTTTATACTTTTTTATATAATATATAATTTTTGAATTTTTATCATTTTATGTATACTTGCAATTTCTATTTTTATCCAATCTTTATATTTTTCAAGTTTCTTTTGTCTTTTTCATATTTCAATTTTCTTTTTTTTTGCATTTTTAGTGTTTTGTTATAATTTCCAATGTTTTTTTTTTCTAATTTCTGTTTTTTACATTTTTTCTATTTTCTACAATTTATAAATTTTTCTGTATTTTTTGTTATTTATTTGTAATTTCTGTGTTTTTCTATAATTTTAGGTGTTTTTCTACATTTTTTTTCTGATTTTGTTTTCAATTTCTATAATTTTTTATTTTTTTTAATTTTTGTGTTTTTATGTATTTTATACTTGAAAATATTTTTTTTAATATTTCCCTTTTTTATGTTTTTATAATTAAAATATTAAAATATATAGGCATATATTTTATATTTTTCTATGAAGGGTAAAATGGTAATGTATTAATTCCCGTTAGTCTGTTTAACGTCAAGTTAATTAAAGCGAGGTTAAAAGTTGTTTAGGCTTGACTGCACAGTCTGCACTTATGATGAGTTCAGAGTTCTCTTTTCTGAGCTCTGTATCAACATTGTTGAGCAGAGGCATGCCGAGTGGCATGGAACGTTACGACTCATCAGCAGTGAGTCTGCTTCTTCCTGACGGCTCTCTTTCTATCCAAAGGACGGGGACCAAGTGGCAAACCCATCTCTATTCGCATGAACCTTATCTATTGTCAGTAAGTACTCTTTAAATGAGAAAGTCACTTTAAACTGGACATCTCTTGTCCGAGATTCACGTGCCCATCTTGACAATTTTGATTCTATTATAACTCTGTTCCATTGCCTTCCCAATTTCTCTGTTATATATAGAATTATCAAACATGATTGTAATGATTCTGGGTAGAACGCAGAGGACGTATTGAGATTTTTCTTTCCTTTTTTGTTTGTCTATCTATTTAAACTCTTTTTGTTCAGTAAGATGAGCAGATTTTGGTTTTCTAGGTTAGTTCTTCTGGGGTTGGCAGTTTTGATTTGCGTTGTTGATGGGTACCCAGTTGAGCATTTGGTGTCGAAATTGCCTGGTCAACCGAAGGTTGATTTTCGGCAGTTTGCTGGGTATATTGATGTAGACGAGAAGGCTGGGAGGAGTTTGTTTTACTATTTTGTTGAAGCAGAGGGGGAACCAGAGAAGAAGCCCCTTACTCTTTGGCTGAATGGAGGTTAGATTTTTCTGCTTAGGATTATTTCTGTGATGGATCATTTTTTGTTTGGTTTTAAAGATGAAAACTGCTATTACTTCTGCTTTCTATTGTTCTTGACTTCTTGTACGATTATCTTCTCTGCATTTGAAGATAGGCCTTTTCAATATTAAACGGTTGATGATTTTCACCATAGATTGTAATTTAGAATTTTCTTTTATTTTCTTTCTTTTTTTTGAATTACAGTTCAGTCTGTTGACATTTTTGGATGTGTAGAGGATGTACTCAAAATAGTCTTTGAAAATGAAATTCTTGAATTATATGGGCATTTTCTTATGATGACCATAATATTAATATGTTCCTCTTCTGTCTGAAAGTCTGCATAGTTTTATATTGTTTTCTTTCTCAAATAGTATTCAAATAGTATTGAAAGTTTGCAGAAGTTTCATCTCTTGCCTTCCATCTCACAGAATATGTCATGTTAGAAGGGAATCTAACGAGGCTGCCCATTTACTAGCCAAATTTGCTTTAGCCTGTATTAGAACATGCACATGGTCCTTATCTCCCTCCTTTCTACTCAATGTAATTTCTCGTGAGATGAACTCGTTGATTGATGAATGAATGTGCCTTTGGGCTTTCAAAAACAAAAAATATATATTGGTCCTTTATGTTTGCTGGCTAGCAATATTCTTGGAATTTATCTTTTTCTTTATGGGTTCGTTTCCTTTATCCTTTTCAATTCCTTTTTGTTTCCCAATTGAATTAACTTGCCAATTTCATAAAAAAAATATTTTGGTTATGATTTTGAATGCTCAACAATGTCATAAAAAATCATTCTGGGTGAACCTGCTCCCTTTTTGGTCTCATAAAAATATATATATTTTTTTTAATTACTGAAACAACAAAGACATCATTTCCTTCTGATAATATCTAAAATCCATGGTTTCCTTGGGATGTTTGGGACTAAGAGAAATCATGTTCTGACTTTCTCAGGATGTTAACTAAGAGAATTCAAGGACATTTAGTCCTTAGAGATCCTATTTGAATGGAGAATTGTTCAAATGAAGAATGTTGTCTTTTTTGTTTGCTTTGGTTTCAGTTTTATTCTACTCAATGATAATTCCCCCTCTAACAAGTTTACAAGATCCAGACCAAGCAAAAAGGAAACTTAAGATACTTATATAGAATGTTAAAAGTAACTTGGCAATACTCATGTGTAAGCAATGATACTGATTAGTTTCTCTTTTCAGGCCCAGGTTGTTCCTCAGTTGGTGGGGGTGCTTTTACAGAGTTAGGTCCATTTTTTCCCAGAGGTGATGGCCGGGGTCTTAGAAGAAACACAAAATCATGGAACAAAGGTTGCAATTTATCCTTTTTGACCCTGCTATTATACTAAGCCAAGTTAACATCTTCTATCTTACTGTTTTGTTGCACTGCTTCTCTATCATTTTTCTAGCATCAAACCTTCTTTTTGTGGAATCTCCTGCTGGGGTTGGATGGTCATACTCAAATACCACCTCAGATTATACTTGTGGGGATGCATCTAGTGGTAAGAAAAACAGATCATAGCCAAGTTTGTTTTATATATCTTTTATTTGAATATGTGGTAAATACAAGGATAATAAATTGACTTGAAATATATAAGCATTTTCTCTGAAGCAAAGATTTTTCAAATATACATTATAGACTTATTTTACACAACCTTCTTCTTTTAGCCTGACATGATTCTATTAATGTTATTGACAGCTAGGGATATGCACATGTTCCTGATGAAGTGGTTTCAGAAATATCCAGAATACAAGTCCAGAGATCTGTTTCTAACTGGAGAAAGCTATGCAGGTCTCAGATATCATAACCATAGTTGTTTTGAAAATTTAGAAGTGGAATATTTCAGCATTTTTCATCCATTTATTTTCTCTATTTTTTTTTTTTTTTTTAAACTGAGTCTGAAGGAAAATATTAGGGTAATATATAATGTATGAAAACTTATATTTTGTTTTTAAGTAATAAATATTAATAATCATGAAATCTTAGTTGTCATCATCATCATCATCATCTAAGCCTTGTCCCAACTATATGGGGAATCATGGAATCTTGATAATATTGGCAAATAATGAGGAATATACTTGCAAGATGTTGTGGAATATGATCTGGGAAAATAAAAATCAACAAAATTGTGAAAAAATATAGTTAACTCTCTTTCAATGAAACAATATGTTGGATTGTCTAAGATATATATATATATATATATATATATATATATGTATGTATGTATGTATGTATGTATGTATATTTTATTTTCACCACTTCCAATGAGTAAGTTGTTTACATGTATAACTGTTTTCATAGGGCATTATATACCACAGTTGGCCAATGTTCTACTGGACTACAACGAACATTCAACTGATTTCAAGTTTAACATCAAAGGAGTAGCTGTAAGACAACTTGCTATATTTTAGAATGTTTCTTTTTCTATATGTTTTTGTGTGTATAATCTATATGGTGTCTATAATGATTTCTTAGGCATATCTTTAATCTCAGTCTCTTAATTCTTTAAATAGATTGGGAATCCACTTCTCAAGCTTGATAGGGATATCCCTGCAACCTACGAGTTCTTTTGGTCACATGGGATGATTTCTGATGAAATTGGCCTTACCATCATGAATGAATGCAATTTCGATGATTATGTTTTCAGCAACTCCCACAATGTGAGCCAATCCTGCAACCAAGCTATTGCTGGTGCAAATCAGGTGGTTGGTGATTATATAAACAATTATGATGTGATCCTCGATGTCTGTTATCCATCAATAGTAGAGCAGGAGTTGAGATTGCGGAAATTGGTACTTCTTTTAATTCCCCATTTGACTTTTTTTCCATGCCTCGTGTTTGTTAAATCATCAACCTATGTGGAATCCTTTCATTGTAGGCTACCAAGATTAGCATAGGAGTTGATGTTTGCATGAGTTATGAGAGGCGTTTCTACTTCAACCTTCCAAGAGTCCAGCAGGCACTTCATGCAAATCGGACCAATTTACCATATGGCTGGTCAATGTGCAGCAAGTGAGTACCCTGTCCAAACAGTATTTAGCCATTTTGTCTTTGTGCAAATCCTTGTTTCTTCAGGTTAACTGGGTGATTGGCGAACTTCTAAATTATAGTAGGATGCACCCAATTAATCACCAACAAAGAAAAAGTATCTTAGTAAGGAAAGACCATGTTTTCTGTTTTCTCATATGACATACTTTTTTCCCCAAATATTCAAGGCGGAGATGTAGAGGCCTCACTCTTACTATGCTTTTCTTTTTCCTTGTAATAATCAGCATGGTCTAAATTAATATGAAAAATACAATACAATGCAATCAAAACCCACAATCTGTAGCCAATCCCTACATGTAAAGTCTCAACATTGAACAGAGAAAATCATGGAAGAAAAGTACAGAGTTACTGAGATAAGTGGGTGCAGTGGGGGAGCCAGGAATTTTCTTTTGGGGGGCCAAGTTAAATAAGAAAATGAGACAGGGAGTAGAGGAGGTAGGTTTTGGAGATAAATGTGGCAGGAAGGTTTGAGTTTATTACAGTTTCTTAAAGAAAAAATAAACAATTTTTTTTTTTTTTTGGGGGGTGGGCGTGGNNCCCACTTTATTATGTTTCTGACCTTGCCTCCACTTACTAACTATATAAATAATGGTTAGTAGGTGGTTCCTGTCCTGTGTCAATGTGGCCCTTGCATGACTGTTCCATGGCATCATCCTGACTTACAGATAAGTTTCAAGTGATCACCCAAGGAAATTTCAATTAAGCAAAATCTATTGAATGTCCACACATCGAAACTCATGTACATAGTAAGGAGTAGGGAAAAATATTTAAATGTCCTATTGTATGTAATTGTGTCAAAGATAAAAAAGCTCATTACCCAATGTTGGTCCCAGCTATCTGGGATTTTGGGAAGGGTGGACTGGGTACAGACCTAACGTTTGGCATTTTTTTGCTCAAAGTGGCTTCTCTCATATTCTCAAGCTTGTCAGCCTAAGATTTTACCATGATATCAAGCAATGGTCTCTAATTGTATCAAAGATACATCATTTAATATTGATTATATTTTAGTTTTAGATTCTGAAGTTAGGGACACTTTCAGGGAATTTTGCAAACTTCTGGTGAGCTACCTTTTCTGTTTACTAATTACCATTTCAGGCTGTTAAATACTTTTTTTAATGAACAATTTCAGCTTTCTTAGCTGCTCATCTAGTATTTTTCATTTCCAAATTGTTAGGCTACCTTCTCAACATTTTTTAGGGAAATGACATTACTTTGTTCTTAAATAAAAATGGATGAAAATCAGAATGTGATTGTTGGTCTCATAACATGTTTAAACTTTAAAGTGTTTCAACGAATGTAACTACAACATGACAAAGAATCTTTGTTTAAATGAGAAGCCTCAGACTTGTTATTTATCATGCTGCACTTGATTTCCCAAGAACATAATCAAATACATGCTCATAGCATATTTGTTTTTTCTATCATTTGGACATCTATGAGGTGAAGTGGTAAATACAGTCCACTGACCACTGAAGAACAGTTGTATTTAGCTTATGACTCTAATCATCCAGTCTATCACATTTCTTGAAAATCATTGGTGAATGATGCTGGAAATTTCTCATGGGCCAGAAGATCATCTCCCACTGTAGTCCATGGCCAACCAATTCTCTTAGTTCAGGTTTGAGCTTGGGTTCATAATTTGTAAATTGCAACTATCAAATGAACCTGATTTCCTGGGGGTAGGCTTATGCTTTTATCTATCATAGCTTATCTCCAGTTTCTAGTATGTTGTGTCATGCAGGACAATATTTATTCGACTATGTAATAGACAGCTAATGGTGTAAGATACTATATTAGTGTTTTATATGGTATAGAAGCTATACATGTAACCATATTTGCAGAAAATAATGAAACTTTGTTGGATTAAGTTTTGATTTGTAATTAAATCTTCTAATAGATGTCCTACATACGAGATTTTCTATTTTAGTTTTTCTTTTCCTTTTCACTTCTTACCAAATTAACAATTTTGAAGACATTTGAGTTTAGTCTTTTTTGCACAACTACTTTCTCTCAAACCAATACTGTGTTGTGACCTGGTTCCAATTGAACCAATTCAGTATTCAGATAAGGGTTCAGTGAATTAGGTATAGTGTGGTCAAACTTTTTTACATGGATCTCTCCAGATGGGCATGGTATGCCCTACAACCTTGATTTATTCTTTGGCCCCCTTTCTGGTTGAAGTGAGATATGGTTAATTATTTGTCTGTGTTTGAATATACCTGTTTTTTGATATATTATGTTTTTCTTCCTTGCACAATGGATTATTGCTCATTCATTACGTTGTTATATTTCTGTAACTTCTTAAGGGTATCAAGATTACCCTTGCTGATGAATAAAAACAAGTCATGTACAAGTTATGTTCAGTTAATTCTGCCATCTTAAACATGCTTGGTCTATGTCTAAGTTTTATAACTTTTTAGTGGCAACTACTGATAAATGCAGTTTTCCTTGTTTCAATACTTGGTATATTGTTAATGTTAATTATATTACATATATAAATATTCTTATGACTACTGATGAATGTTTTTATTGAATGAGCGCAGTATACTGAATTACAATGAAACCGACGGTAACATCAGTATCCTCCCATTGCTTAAAAGGATAATCAAACACCATATACCCGTCTGGGTTTTCAGGTGAGCCATTCTTTAGATTAGATAAGAAAAAAGGTAAACAAATGAAATTAGGTATTCTTTGAATGGAAACATGATTGTTATCTATTCATGATTATAGTGGAGATCAAGATTCTGTTGTGCCACTTCTGGGCTCCCGTACTCTTGTCCGTGAACTTGCCCATGACCTGAACTTTGAGGTGACAGTCCCATATGGAGCTTGGTTTCACAAAGGACAGGTATTAATGCACTTTATATCCTGTTTTAGATTTCTACCAAAAAATATCCTATTTTAGATGAATTCTTGCCAAAACAATCTATTGCCAGTCATCATTTGCATTTTATCTTGTAGCTAACCTCTTCTTTTGTTTGTGAATAGGTTGGAGGTTGGGCCACTGAGTATGGTAATTTATTGACTTTTGCCACTGTAAGAGGTGCTGCTCACATGGTACCTTACGCACAACCATCAAGAGCCTTGCATTTATTCAGTTCATTTGTCCATGGAAGGAGATTGCCAAATACAACTCGTCCATCTATCTACGACTGAGAAGCAATAAAACCAATCCTCATGCCAATAATATACCTTTTCATATCTCTCTTAGGTTGTCTTTTTATTTTCCTTTTTTATTCTTGGGTTAGGGTTTGGATTTTGGTTGATGAAGAGGGAGAACACAGATTCAAAATTCTAAAAATGCAAAGGACCTAATAAATTGATCAAGGATGAGGATGTTTGTACTAGTTGTCACCAATTGTCTAACCAATGTTTTAACTTTTAACCTATTTTTTTCTTACATTCTGAAATTGTTGGCGTAATATCAAATCTTTGAAATGATAAAATCATCCAGTGATATGATTGACAACCCTGAGCCTACCTACTCAAGGGAAGGAAATTGAAAAATAATCAAGAGTTTAAGACACTCAAATGAACTGTAATTTTCTGGTGGAAGGTAAGGCAGTGGTCATCAATGGAGAAAACATAGTTTTAACTTTTGAAAACAAATGTCATCATATATCTGTTATTTTTGTAAAACTAGGCCTTATAGATAGATACCAACATAGTATACATTATTTCATTCTCTTTTGGTTGGGGGCAAGATTCAAAGTATTGTATCTAGGGCTGTAAATGGATCTGATTCGGATTTAATCTACAACAATCTTATTGTGTTTAAAATGATCAAAAATTTAAATAATTATTTTTAATTTATATGTATAATATAATAAATGTGTAAAAATATAAACTATTAAGTTATTAATTATGAACTTTATATAATTATACATAATATATACACACATAAAATAATAATTTTTAGTGAAAGTCAGATGCAAGTTTTAACATCCAAATTGGAATAATCGCATTTTGAGTTGAATCAGAGTTTTGGAATCCATTGACAGCCCTATATTATCATATCCGCCAATTGACATATAATGGGACCTTGTGGATTTGAATGTTTTAAAAGGTAAGAACATGATGCGACAAGACCTTTGTCAAAATGTTGGAGTAAAAATTTAAAAAAAGGGCCACTTACTAAAACACCCGTTTTACGAATTTACTAAAACCTACCATATAGTTTAGGTTTTGCTAAAATACTCTATAGTTTTCAACCAATTTAATTAATCGACCTTATATTAATCCTTTGTATTACTATCTAAAAACAGAAAATGTTTAAGGGCTTCAACCCAGGCTTTTTTATTTCAAAAGTATCCCTAAAGCTTCGGATCAAGCTTCCAGAAAGAAACAAATTTTGATTTTTAGATCTATCAAATAATGTTTGGCTCCAGTAGAATGAAGAAGAGAGAACAATGGCATCCAGGGTTTTTTGTCAACAATGGCATATTTTCCTTCTTCGAACAAAGAACAAGTTTTACCAAATAGAGTTGTTTTCTGTGTTTTAACAGAGACAAGAATGATATTTCAATTTTTGTTTTTTATACGTTAAATTTATTTGAAGGGATGTAAAAGGTCAAAACTGTCATTTTCCACTTCCATAAGTTAGGTCTTAGTAAGTTATGCCTGAAAACAATATAATATATTATGGATTATATATATATATTTATACCTTCCAACACATGGATTTGGGGTATCTTGAAAACCAAGAGGAAAACAATGCTAAAGGCAGGATTTATAATGAGCATGCCAATACAAGCTGTGTTTAAACCGGGAATCAATGTATTAAATTTGTATTTTCCTAAATTCTTTCATTCTGTAAAGTAATTTTAGTTGTAATATTACTTGCATAAAATTCTGATCACGAGATGAACTAGGATCCTATGATCACATGTTATTTCTTTGTCTATATGTGATTCATGTGAAGGATCTTTCTAAAACTAGACCCTGCTCAGCACAATCGAAAGTGAACTGTTTATTTATATGTTTAACTTCACTATTTACTGTCGTTTTTATTAAGATTATATTATCAAAAATGAAGTTACAAGTTGTTATTATCATAAGAGAAATTGTTTTGAGTTTTCAACATTTCTCTTAAACTCATTACAACTTTTCAAAATGTCTAAAACTCATCATGTCACTAACTTGACGTTAAAGAGACTAACAGCTGTTAATACATTATCATTTTAACTTTCATAGAAAAATATAAAATATATACATATATTTTAATATTTAGACATGAAAAAAAAGGAAAAAGTTCAAAAAATATTTTCAAATATAAAATACATAAAAACACAGAAATTAGAAAAAATATAAAAAAAATATAAAAATTGCACAGAAAATAAAAATAATATTTTCAAATTATAGAAACTATAGAAATTGAAAAACAAAATCATAAAATAAAAATTGTAGAAAAAAACACCAAAAATTATAGAAAAACACAGAAATTGCAAATAAATAACAAAAAATACAGGAAATTTTATAGATGGTAGAAAATAGAAAATGTAAAAGAAAAAGAAAAATATAAAAAACAGAAATTATAAAAAAAATTAGAAATTAGAACAAAACACCATGAATGTAAAAAAAAAGAAAATTGAAAAATGAAAAAGACCATTTTCCTCTAACTCGCCATTCAAGGGTGATTGGTCATAAAAGTTGTTATTTATGCCGATGTGGACATGTTTGTAGAAAACATTAACGGTGCACTAATGGAAGGTGAGCTTTGGAAAATAAAAACTTACTGGCATGGTGAGTTTTAGACGTTTTGAAAAGTTGTGAATTTAAGAGAAATGCTGAAAACTCATAGTGAGTTTTAGGCAATTTCCTTTATCATAATTATAGATATCCAGTGTAATTGAGTCCGACCCGGTTAATAATTGATTCGATTCTTGATCTATCGTATAAAATTGTATTTATTAATTTGTTCGAGACTGGTCCAATCATCCTGTCACAAACCAATCCGACCCATTCATAAAAAGTTTAGGAGTGAGTTTTTTTTTAAATATCAAGTCAGTCCCAATAAGACTCATTAATGATAGGGTCAGTTTTGGATTTGTTAGTCTAGTATTTAAGGCTCTACCTGGTCTAAGTTTGCACCAAGTTTGTGTTCTCTTAATCCTTAGTGGTTGGGAGTAAGGTTTTAAAAACCTGACCGAATATGAAACCGGTTCCTGGGTTGAATGGTGCGACAGTTTAGTTTGAACGGATGATCCATTCTAATTGAAAAATTAAAAAAATTAAAAAAATAAATAAAATAAAAATAATAAAAAAATGTTATTCAGGTCAACGGGTCAACAATTCAACTACCCAGATCAATGAGTCATTAATTAAACCAACGATTTTTGGTCAAAAAGCAATAAAACAAAACACATTACCTGATCGGTTCTTGGGTCAACCAGTCCAACCATCCAATCCAGTCCAGTTTTCAAAACCATGATTGGGAGTTGGGACCGGGTCTATTCAGACCTGGTTCAAACCTATGAAAATAAACTGTAGGCTTTCAACCAACCACATAATAAATGCTTTCGTTTGCTTTAGATAAGTACATAGAGCCTTAGCAAACGATCATTAGGAAACCATAATCAATCTATCATTTTCAAATTTAAAGGCCTATCTTTTCCAGGCTATTATAACTTGCATTTAATAAGTTGGGCCATGGATCATGGCCCACCAACTTCTTGATAGGGCCCAGATTGTGGGTGTCCAATTGAAACAAGGATGGTTGTGTTGTGGACCTCCGGTGACCCATCTCAAAATTTGATGATGATCGTACGGTGGTGACGAGCTTTTCCTCCTAAATTAAATGCTCATGTTTCGAGCAAACAGGCTTCCACCAAGCGACCGACAAGCATCTGTGTTTGCACGCCTTGTGTTCAGATTGGATCTTTCAGTCCAACAAAAACATGTTTTTCCGTAAATTACATCGAATGCCATTATTTTATGTTGACCAAAATATCCTCGTTGTCGAGTATTTCCGCTCCACCTCTTCTCTCTGCCTCTCTCACCTCCTCTGTTTTTGTTTCTCTCTCCAGCTCCACCAACCTCCGATCTTCGCCATTGCAAAGCCATCTACAGCTGCAGAACGCCATTTCTTCATCTGGAGTTTATGTTTGCATTTGTTACTTTACTTTAGACCTTGGTTTTCTGCAAAATCTACACGAAAGGTTGGTTAGATGTGTGTTATATTTGTAATTGTTGAATGCAGATTATCTGGATTCTCTTCGGCTTCTTGAGTTGATTTCGGTAGATTTTTTTTCCTGGGTATATTCGTTTTTGATTTTTATTCTTCGTTTGGATTGAACTCTGAAATATTCAAGAATCGGTTTGTGGTGATGAAGAATATATTCTGGCATTGGCCATGTAGGAGTTTCGATGGGAACAAAAGAATTTTATTGTCAGGATCTGGGTTCTGTAGATTTTTTTTTTTAAATCTTTGATCGATAATGGGATTATAATGCTTCTGAAGTTTATTTGATTCGCAGTGTTCTGCACCCTTGTTGGTTCCAACTGAGTTGGTTTAGTAATGACGATGACTGGATACTTCTGGGTTCACAATTTATGGATTTAAGAAGTTTTGTCGCCGGATTTGTTCTCGAGGAACTATACTTCGATAATTTTTATAGGGCACCTGACTGATGCCATTGTTTTCCGGTACACGGTTGTTTAAGATGACCGCTGCTTTAAACCGGAGTATGTCGGATCGTTCGACGCGGAGGACCTTGAGTTTTAGCAGCGCGCGAGTTGGCGTTCACCGTAAGAGCTGGGTCTCGCGGTCATTCTGTGTGCTTACTGTTATTGGCTCGTTGGTTTCCTTCCTTTTAGCAATAGGTTGTGCGTATCTATATGTTTTGCCCAGTATCAGCCAGGCATTTCTTGGGTTTGGGGTTTCCCAATCCAACACTTCGACTGAGACTTGCAATGTTTTTGAAGGAAGCTGGGTCCCGGATTATAGTTATCCACTGTATAATAGCTCAGAGTGCCCTTTTGCAGAAAGAGGATTTAATTGCTTGGCTAATGGGAGAAAGGATATGGAATATCTTAAATGGAGGTGGAAGCCCAAAAGCTGTGATATCCAAAGGTTTAATGTGCATATAATTTTGGAAAGGCTGAGGGGGAAACGTGTCGTTTTGGTTGGTGATTCCATGAGTAGAACACAATGGGAATCCTTGATCTGTTTACTGATGACTGGTGTGGAGGATAAGAAGAGCGTTTATGAAATCAATGGGAACAAAATCACAAAGCAAATTAGATTTTTAGGTGTGCGGTTCAGTTCATATAATTTCACTGTTGAGTTTTTCCGTTCAGTTTTCCTAGTGCAGAGTGGCTGGGTTCCTAAACATGCACCAAAGAGGGTTAAGTCAACACTAAGGCTGGACAAGCTGGATGATATCAGTGAGAAATGGATCAATTCAGATGTTTTGATTTTTAATACAGGGCAATGGTGGAACCCTGGGAAGCTTTTTGAAACGTAAGTTTAAGTTGTCATTATTTTTATTAGTAAATTAATTCCATCTGCCTCTCTGTGTTTTATTTACAGTTCCATGTTAAGTACTCTGAGATTCATGTAAAGTATGATGGACAATTGAAGACAAAGTTTTGTGCTATCCGTTTCCCTTACTTTCATATTCTTTTTCCCTTTTGTTCATTTTATCTCATGGTATCATATCATGCCCTATTGTTCTTTGCTATTGCTTTCATGCATAATTACTTTGAAACTTGTGTTCATTATGGTGGAGAATAGAAAGCTAAGATTCTATTTGTTTGCAGTGTAAATCCAAACTATGCAAAAATTGCAGGTGTTTATTTGAAACCATAATATGCACCCTAATTGATGGGAATTTGCACTTTTTGTGTATGGTACTCATTAATGACATAGTATTAATTGATGAAACCAAAGAGGGATCAGATGCAAAATTGGATTTATGTGCAAATGCTTTAGAAACAAAGGTTCTTAAAATAAATAGAACTAAAACAGAATCTATGCAAGTAAAGGGGCAAGAGAGGGAGATGCTTTTGGAAAGCTACTATCCATGCTGTCACGTGAAATACTTGGGAAGAAAGTTTTGAAGAGATATTCTTCCTTGGAGACTCTACAGTGTCATGTGCAAGCTAATCTTAATAGCTGGATGGTGAACAGTAAAGTCTTCGCTGGATTCAACCTGGGTGGCTTGCAAAGAAGTTTGCCCGAATTAGTGTTGACTTTGCTGTTTCATTCTCAACCTCCTACTACAATCATCCCAAGACAGGAGAGTGAGTATATCTTAAACTTTGATGGAAGTTTCAGGAAAACTAGTGAGGGTTCACTTGAAGCTGGAATTTGAGGCTTTTTGCACAGATGGAGACTTGGTTTGGGCATTTAGTGGCCCTTCCAAAGTAGAAGGTGCTGCGGAATCAGAGACTTGAGCCCTCTTTGAAGGCCTCAGAATTGCCAAGTTGCAGCAGCGTAGATCCATTGCAGTGGAAGGGGACTCAAGGAATGTCATAAAGTGGGCATCTGGAAATACCTCTAGCCCCTAGAAGCTCTCTTACCTTTTGTTAGAAACCCCTGTTCTATCTTTAACAAAGATCAGCTGTATTAAGAAAAACGAAAAGAAGAAAATGTATAGAAATTATCTACAGAAAATAAACCAGTGGTTCCACCAGAAAAATAAAATAAAATAAATAAAAATAAAAAACAGAAAATCCCCAGCATCTGCATTACAATAGACAGAATAGCCAACAAAATAAAGCCAAACAGTTCCATCAACCAGCACTATGCAATGGAAAGAAAATGACAATTCCCAGCCTCAAGACAACTACACAAAACTCAGCATTAATACAATGATCTCATCGAAAGACAACACCCTGAGCCCCCTTAAAACAGCAGAGAATAAGAAAGGCATGTCCTTGCTTTGTTCTCGAGACCAGTGGGAGTAGGGGGCTCTATTAGGGCTGAATTGATAGCTGCTCTACAAGGTCTTCGGATTGCATATGAGCTGAATCTAGAAAATTTGATGATTGAGGATGACTCCAAGCTGGTAGTAGGGTGTCTTAAAGAACCAGATTCGGTAATGTGGTGTTGTAGGAATGAAATTAAGAAGTTTAAATGGTTAACAAGAATTATGAATTTGCAAATTCAATGGATTGAAGATCAGCAAAAGAAAGGATGAATCTCTAGCCAAGCAAAGGGTGAATAGGGTTCAATTGTATTGGCAAAGTTGTCATTTGTAATATTTTAATTTAATTGTTGGAAGAGTTCACACCTCGTGCCTCTCCTAGGGTGCTTGTATTGTTTGAAATGTTTATATTAATGAATTCATCCTTACCTATCAAAAAAATGTAATACAAAATCAATTACATTCTTAATATCCATTCTACAAATGGCTTCTTCTGTGCTTTTTCTATAAATCTTGGAAAGTGCTTCTAACATGTCTTTCCAGACAGGGGCTGTTTTTTCCAGATTGGTAGATCACTGAAGCTTGGAATGTCAATAACTACTGCCTTCAGAACTGCACTGGACACTTGGGCATCATGGGTTGAAACTATGATTAATACAAATAGGACAAGGGTATTCTTTCGGACTTTTGAACCTTCTCATTGGAGGTACTCTTTTACTGGCCATCTCTGTAGTCTCTAGTCTGTTATTACTAGTATTACTAATACTATTACTACTACTACTACTACTACTACTAAATTATACTAGAACTGATGATAGAACCCCAGTGCAACTACTCTGTACTTGCTGGTTATCAAAAAATTTATTCTCACCTCTTATCAAAAAAAAAAAAAAAAACCTCTTATTCTCACTTCACCCAGAAGGGGAGCTTTTTATTTTTCAAAAAAGGTGAAGTATGGTAATGAAAAAAACAAAAGATCACCTACGTACATAAGGCACTGTACAATGGAGATGTACAAAAATGTCACTATATGTCAAGAATTGCAGTTTGTGAATATTCAAAGTCAAAATAAGAAAGGAAATATATGAAACTTCCCTGAATGTCCTATGAACAAACAACGAAGAACATTTTTTCATGATCAGTAACAGAAGCATTATTAACATGTGAAAAGGACCATACAGTCTAGAAAGGAATGTAGGACAAGGACATGTACAAACAGATCAGTGTTGACAAGAAAATTATATTCATTGAATAATGATTTTGCTACAAGCGCCCTGCCCCTCCCAAGTTCAATCATGGTTATCTAGGGCCCATTGGGGAAGAGAGAATTCCACAAAGGGCAAAGCTTATGGCGTTGCTGCAAGATTTGTGCACATTGGAGTGGAAGCAAGGTTAAAAATATTGATACACCCCAATACACTGGAAGAGGTGTATCAATACATATCTAGAGGAGAAGAGGGAAGAGAGAAAAAAGTTTGGAGTCTCAGAAAGCTGCTGGTGGCGCCAGCTTTTTGTTATTTATACTAGGGCAACACAACATAAAATAAAACAAGCTGAAAGTACTAAAGTACCCCTTGGTACTAAACATACAAAATAACATCATTTCAACACTCCCCCTCAAGTTGGGACATAGATATCAATCATGCCCAACTTGTCACATAAATCATAATGTCGCAAGTGATGTAACCCCTTTGTGAAAATGTCTGCAAGTTGGTCTTCAGAACTGACATAGGGAGTACACACTTCCCCTGTGACAACCTTTTCTCTGGTGAAATGTTTGTCAACTTTAATATGCTTAGTTCTATCATGCAGCACAGGATTAGCAACAATGTTTATGGCTGCTTTGTTATCATAGTAAAGAGTCATAGGTCCATCAACTGGAAAGCCCAACTCACTCAACAAATTCTTTAACCACATAATTTATGCCACTCCATGAGACATTGCCCGATATTTAGCTTCAGCACTAGACCTAGCTACCACATTCTGCTTTTTGCTTCTCTAGGTAACTAGGTTCCTTCCTATAAAGGTACAATAGCCACTTGTTGATTTCCGGTCATTCAAGGATCCTACCCAATCAGCATCGGTATACACTTCAACTTTCAAATGTCCATACTTTTGAAACAACAAGCCTGCACCTGGGAACTTCTTAAGATATCTGAGAACTCTTTCTACTGCTTCAAGGTGGGTAGTCTTAGGGGCATGCATGAACTGGCTAAGAACTCCCACTGCATAAGCAATGTCTGGTCAAGTCATAGAAAGATATAATAGTCTTCTTACAAGTCTTTGAAACTATTTCACATCCTCGACGGGTTCACCTTGACAGTCTCCTAACTTGTGGTTAGGATCAATAGGGGAATCAACGGGCTTCACTCCCAATTTTCCTGTATCCTAGAGTAGATCTAGGACATACTTTCTTTGGAAAATGAAGATACCCTTTTTGATCGGGCCACTTCAATCCCAAGGAAGTACCTTAGAGGACCTAGATCCTTCACTTCAAACTGGGTAGCAAGGAAACTCTTCAAATTTTGAATTTCATCATTCCAATCACCAGTAATAACTATATCACCAACATATACTATTAGTGTTGCAATCCTTCCCCTCTTTTCACAAATAGTGTGTCATCAGATTGACACTGCTTGTATCCTCTTTGTTGAAATGCTACATGAAATCTATTGAACCAGGCTCTTGATGATTGTTTCAGGCCATATAATGATTTTTTTAACCTTCACACTTTTTGTTCCTTACCTTGAACTCGGAAACCAGGGGGTTGCACCATGTATACTTCCTCTTCAAGGTCACCATTTAAGAATGCATTCTTGATATCAAGTTGATGAAGTTCCCAGTCAAGATTAGCAGCTAAGGAGAAAAGAACTCTAATGGAGTTCATCTTAGCAACGGGAAAGTTTCTGCATAATCCACTCCATACACTTGTGTAAACCCCTTTGCTACTAGGCAAGCTTTATACCGCTCCACTATGCCATCAATTCTATGTTTTACTGTGAAAACCCATTTAGACCCAACTGGTTCCTTCCCCTTAGGAAGATTTATAAGTTCCCGTGTACCATTCTTATGTAAAGCCTCTTCCTTCATAGCATTTGTCCATTCAGGTATCAAAAGAGCTTCTGCCACATTCTTAGGAATAGGAACACTGTCAATGGAAGAGAGAAAGGCCCGAAAGGAAGGTGAAATGTTCTCATAGGAAACAAAGTGGGACATGGGGTGTTTAGTGGTGTAAGACCTAACACCTTTTCGATGAGCAATAGGAAGGTTAAGGTCATCAACAATAGAGGTATTAATGGCAATAGGGTCAGGAACATCAATGGGAACCAAGGTACCTGGTTGGGAAGGATCCACCCCTAGAGATTTTGATGGTATTGGTGGTATAGCTTCTGGATGCTCCACAACTCTTAAACTTGGTTGGCCTTTGTGACGTGGAAAGAAAACATGAAAGGGAGGATGAAGAATAGGGGGCAGCTGAACTAGTTTCTCCTCATTTCTACACTCCCCCTTAGGAGAAACAGGGAAAAAAGGCTCACTCTCAAAGAAAGAGACATCCATAGAAACATAATATCTCCGGGAGACGGGATCAAAG